GAAGTTATTCTCAAAAAGTTGAAATAAGTGATAAAATTTTGTATTATTTACACTATTTAACACGATTTTTTTTAAATCTAAATTTTAATCCATCGTAACTCATTATCGGTTAAAATTTTACAATACATTTTGGGGTAAAACGCCCCCCTATAAAATGGGTAAAACGCCCCCTTTTAAATAATGTAATTAAAGAATAATTTTATACTAGAACTATTTGATATTGTTTTAATCCTTAAAATTGAAAAATGAAATTTAACAGTTGTTTGTTGGTTTGAAGCGTATGGTTGACTCTTTGATGAATGAGGCACCACCAGGTGCTATTGGAGTTTGTACCCCAAGCGGTTGGACAGACAGTGAATGTTTTATGAGATGGTTGAATCATTTTACATTTATTGTAAAGCCATCAAAAAAAGACAAGCATCTTATTTTTCTTGATGGACATCACTCTCATAAAACACTTGAGGCAGGCAGTGACATTTTGTCGTGACTCTTGATGTTTCCTTTTTTAAAGGATTGAAAGCTGCATACAATGCAACTGCAGATGGGTGGATGCTTAGTAACAAAGGAAGACGGATAACCTTTTATGAAATAGCTGGACTATTTTCAAAAGCATTTTTGAAAGCAGCCACCCCAGAAAAAGCTGTGCATGGTTTTGAATGCACTGGTTTGTGGCCTCTAAATAAACAAATTTTTTCTGAAGAAGATTTTTTTGCATCAAAGCCAACAGATGAACCCTTACCGAATACAGTCACTTTAGCTTAACAAACACCTTAATCTGTGAAACCTGCACAGGAAGTTGATCATGCAAAGAAAGATCCTAAAACGACACTGTTGAAGGTCATGGGTCCAATTAAAATTGACAACGTGAGAATTAGAAAACGAAAATCAGAAAAAGCTGCCTTTTTGACATCTAGTCCTTACAAAAATTTACTCGAAAAAAGGGAAAATTCAAAGACTATGTCAAAACGACAACTGATAAAAGGTAGCGGTAAAGAGGAAAAGAAAAAAATTGATTGTGAACCATGTAATACTTGTCAGTTGAAATATTGTGAGTTTCTAACATGCTTTGTGGTACCACAATGAATGCCAAGGACTTGATGAGAACTATAATGAACAATTTATATGCATTGATTGTGAAAATTCTGATTCAGATTAAGCATCAGTTCTGTTTTAATAAACGTTTGAATAATTGAATAATCAATTTAAATACATTAACAGTTTTTTTCAATATTTGTTAACATTGTTTTTATAGTTTTGTTTAATAAATTTGATTGAATATTCAAATTTACCAATGTATTTTTAAACACTATCTATGACATTGACATGGGATAAAACGCCTCCCAGTAGGCGTTTTGCCCCAATGCTGGGGTAAGAAGCCCCTTTATCAAAAAAGTTTTAATGGCAAAAATTTTTTATTGGGTCCTTTTTATTTGTTAAAATTATGTATTTATATAAAATACTATGAGTGATCTTTCTGGAAGTTTAAAAATCTCACAGTTTTATAGCATAAATTTGATTTAATCGAACTTTTTCCTTAGAGGGGGCGTCTTACCCCATGTTACCCTACACCATCCAGATGAACACGCACTCTATCGCACCCAAAAATGAAACCCACTCACACATACATACACACACACACACTCACACACACAGACATGCAAAGACTCTCACACGCAAAGACTCTCACACATTAACACACACACAAACGCAGTAAGATAAAAGACATACATAGAACAACACATAAACACATGACGAACCTGAAATAAGAGAATATGAAGAGAGTGACCAGGAGCATGAGACAGGATATGGCACTCCCGTAAAAGTACACCTCAGCCATCACGTAGGCCACTTCTCTCCCCTTGGGAGGGGGGCAAAATTTTACATAAAATATAATTATTATATAATATTTAAATATATTATATATTTATATATATATATATTTATAATTATTTGATAAGTATTCTACAAGTGTCATTTTGGAAAGTTTATTATTTTTTCATTGCGGAAGTTTCCTGCTTATTTGGAAATCTTTTGCTTTCTATATATTTTATATTAATTTGTTTTATTTCTTGTTGCTATTAATTGTTGTTGTTGTTGTAGTAGTAGTTGTTGGGATGTTTTCGTTTCAATTAAAAAGGATCAAGTCAAGTGCAGGACAAGTTGGTGGTGGCGTCTGTGAAGATGTTTGTGTATTTTTCTTGGCTTTGTAATAGATGCGAACTTTATATGTAACATGTAGGTACAAGGTGCTGAAACTTTACTGTGATGTTGCGGTTATGTAGTAAAATTAATGTATTAATATATGCGTGTATGTTGTTTGCTGTGTTAATCTGTATTAATTGAGCTTTTTTATCTGTTATGTTTGAATCAAATAAATATATTGAATTGAATTGAATATATTACAGGCAATTCATTTCGGTTTTTGGAAGCTTGTTACACCTTCCCAGCACCCGACCACACTTCTGACGAAATAATGATCGTGGTTGGTTTCCTAAGATTCTGTCTCACCAATCAATTTATGAAACTCAGTGGTGCGAATGGTATTTATTCGCTGAAACGTTGTCAAAATTTTAATTTAACGAAACGTACTCATGACCAAACTGTTAACCGCGGCCTACTTGATAACAACAAAAAAGGCAAGAAATCATAGCAGCTTCAACTTTTTGCCTGGTAGTGACTCTTACGATGTCATCAGTTTTTATGAAGTCACCAATGAAAGCTATTTAAAGCTTTCATTGGTGAAAGCTATTTATCCATTCAAGTTGAAGATAATGACTTTATTTCCTCAGTCATTCACGAACCCTAGCATACCTACATCACAACGCACAAATGTAACGCCCTTACAAACACCACATCGATTTTAATGTATTTAACCCTAACCCTAACCCTATCTGATGACATCAGCCAGCCAATCATTCGCCGGCTTGCTGCTCTGAAATCATTCATTCATTCATTCATTCATTCATTCATTCATTCATTCATTCATTCATTCATTCATTCATTCATTCATTCATTCATTCATTCATTCATTCATTCATTCATTCATTCATTCATTCATTCATTCATTCATTCATTCATTCATTCAGCAGATATTGACAGTATTGATTGTCGCCAGTTTATTGTTATTTACTTGCACCACCGCATGCTCAGGTTCATGAATATTGTTATTTTTATTTTCTGAAATCTTTTATCTTTTTTGTTTAAACGTAAATTTTTTATTTTCATCCAAGAATGATTTGGTTGATGGCTTCAATTTTTCTAAAAACTTAATGCAACTGTTACAAAAAAATTTCAAGTTGTTGAATTTATTTACATCTAACGAATTATCTGCGCTGCAAAACCAGCAACGTTTGCTTCCCCACTTATACGCCTTGCATAACCAGAACCACTTTGTTGGGTTTAGTAAGCTAATTCATGTTGTGTGTGTGTTGCGTATACACGTGCACGTAGTTTTGTATGTACGTGCATGTATGTGTGTATGTATGCTGGTGTGCTTGTATGTATGTGTGCTTTTCTTCGCAGCCCTTACAAAAATGTTAAGATGTATGTATGTATGTGTGTGTGTATGTGTGTGTGCGTATGTGTGTGTGTGTGTATCCCTGGTATGCAAATTTATTAGAGTTGTACAAATTTTGTGGTAAGGTGGATGTTATTAGTTTGCTGATGGGCAGAAGGTATATTGGAGGTGGCATCCCCGCTCAGAAATCATCTGCTGCACGATGACATGTCCATGTTTGCTTAATAAGTCAACGTTCTTACGGCTGTATTTCTGTGTTATTAGATGCAAATTATATTGTGTGTTTGATTGTGTGTGTGTGTGTGTGTGAATGTGTGTAAGTGTGTAAATATGTTTTTGTGTTTTCATTTATGACCAAATTTTTAAAGGTAGGTACACAGAGGAAAGTTATTTTGCATCACGTTACTTTTTGTTTAGATTTTATCACTTCAAACATGCTTCTATAATTCAACAAACAGATCAAATAGAAAACATCACATATTTAATTCACACATCACAAAAATTTAATAACAAACTTAGAATTAATTAAGAAAAACAAAACCATAAAATTGATGGTAATCGTTGAGTGTACTCTCGGAGCGCTCCACGCACTGATTGAAGTGTCATGAGAGAACTTCTGTTTATAAAATTTCCTACGCCAAAAAACTCTCCCCTGATCAACACTGGGTTATGTGGAAATTTTTATCCATTTAAATTGCTGCTTAACGTATAAAGGCCATAAAGGTGTACTTACGTCTTTGAAGGATGTTGTATGTTCTATCTGATGCAAGTTAATGTACTGTGTAAATATGTAGTGTGTGTGTCTGTCTGTGTGTGTCTGTCTGTGTGTGTGTTTGCATGTATCTTGTGTTCAGGTCTGTCCAATGTTTCTGCTCGTTCAGTTGAGTGTTAGTTGAATTTATCATGCGAACTCAGTCCTATCTTCATGCTAATTTATTTCAGTGCATACGTGTGAAGTTTTAAAAACTTCTGCCAACTGATCCTGAGTTATATAAACTGTACATTAAATTATGTACGTATGTGTGTATTTGTGCGTTCGTGTGTGTGTGTGGTGTTTGTGCGTGCGTGCGTGTGTCAACCCTCACGTTTTGTACAAAAATTAATTTGTTTACAACACCCACATGCATCATATTTTATGTAAATTTTATATTGTTTTCATCACTGAATTGAATACAGTTAAAAGTGAATATATGATGGTTTATAAAAAAAAATTTAATTTTATGACTTGGGAACTGCCAACATAGGGCTTGGACGACAAGTTAAAATAATGCCCGAGCTTAAAGAACCATCAAAGTTTTTTTTTTTTTTGAAGCAACTTTTTAATTTTTTGCCGTGAAACCTACTTGTATTTTAAAAAACTGTTTATATTTTAATTTTCAACAACTTTTTAAATTTTGTAAACCATTTCCAACTTGTTATATGTGTCTTTGAATTGTAATTTGTTCTTTTTATGCTGATCCGTGTCAGACGTCAGCTTTTTAGTTCAGCTGGGTTGCGGGCCAACAAGAGAACTCCACTGCACTTTGAAGGCTTGAATTGATGCAGTGAGATACATTATGTGAAAGGGGGCAGCAAGAACAAATGATTGTGTTGAGTTTTGTTTGTAAGCTCTCAGGAAAAATGAAATGGCCGTAATCGATCGATCTTTTCCTTTAAATTTGTAAGTCTGTATAATAATTATCTGTATTTTTTTAATCAGTTGCACGATTTCCAAAATTTAAATTTCAAATTGAAGTTAAGTATAATTTTAAAATATCTATAGAAACATAGTACAGAAATGTCTCATCGAATATTTATACGGAGGTGCTGAATTATTTACTTTATCCTTCTCTTATCCTACAAAGTATTTTGGTTTCAACAATTTTTAATCGCTTGATAAAATTGCAAATGCTGCAAATAAAAACTTCTGAAAATATAGTTCATAAGGAGGGCAACATTTTTACATCCAACTTCCGCCAAAAAACTCGTTCGTCACACATTTCTGCTCATAAAAGGAAATGTATTTTCTATAATTTCAAAAACATAGTAGTTTATTTTTAAATATTTTTGAAATAATTAAACTCTCGCTGATTTTGTTTTGAAAAACAGCGTAGAACTTAAAATATTGACATTACAGAGAACGATGAAAGACTGAATGAACATGGCTATTACTAAGAAGGCAGTCTTATTACTGAGTGAAAATCTTCTGGAAATAAATTATTATTCATCTGCCAAAAAATATCAGCATTTCTGTAATAATTAATTTTTGTTATTCTGATGAAAATCAAATTAAAAAATAATTAATTAATTATGTTGAAATTTTTTAACACGTTGTAACAAATGATTGAGGTCTACGAATCCATGTTTGGAATTTAAGCTCACTTTTATTGATAAGCCACGTTATATCTATCAAAGCCAGTCTTACAAAACTAATTTGTTGCAAATTGTGTGCCTATCAACTGCCACAAAATAACTTTAAGTGCTGAAATATATTGAACTTATTTATTAGAATTCAAGTCAAAAGCATGTAGAAAATATTACAGTCTTCTACCTCATCATCATAATTCTAAATTACGATTTAGAGCTAACAACTACACAATTCCTATAACTTGTTTTATTAGTCTGAAGTAATCGGTAAATTGAGTTTTTTTCTTGAATTTCATACGTGCAGTTAGAATGTTTTTTCATAAAAAGCACAATGTAGATTTGCAGACTGCAATTATCTACTTTAACATCTACACAATCTGCTTATTTTATCAATCGGCATCTAACTGGAAAAAAACAATTATCAACAAACAACGACAAACAAAAAACAATAGCAACTGAAATCACAACACAAGGAAAGCAGATAACAATGAAGAAACGTTAAACAAAAAAATAACTTCTGTCAAACAGGGTTCCTTAAAATTTATGGTTGAATGCTAAAACTGAATTTACAATATTTGAATCTGTCCAGACGTTTGTTGCGTAGCTTCATGTAGATGGTTTGTGAAACTAATCACATTATACTGGCATACTTACTTAGAGCATACAAAAAACCAAACCAACAAAAAATGTAACAACTGGCAAACAAAGGCAACGACATGAATTCAAACAATCAAAAGCAAACAAAGTTTATTATGAATTAAAAAAATTCACCAACTCAAAAACATCAAAAAAAAGCATCAAAAACACCCAAAAATAGCTTTAAACTTACGGAAGCACAAGTATACAAACTAACACAATTCCTGGCCACGACGGTCTCTCCTTGAGTGTCTATAGGCGAGTCAGTCTCATCGTTGCTCTGAGACATGTTAGTGATGGCTTTGTAGATGATTTCTTCCGCTCCCCACGTACCATTCAGGTTGCAGTGACGGATCATCATCACCTCTGCAGTAAGGATTAAATTTTATGAATTTATATACTTAGGAATTGAATTGTAGTTATGGATCTAAATCGTCGACCAGGAAAGATTAGCGTTATCATTTTGTACCCGTCTCTAGCTCTCATGAATTATTTTATAACCAATATGCATATTAGAAATTTATGATATCTGGAATGTATGATGTCTGCTATCTGCTTTCAGTGAAGTTTACGATGAAAAAAATGCCCAAAAGCAATTTTTATGCAGTTAAATAAATTACTTTCTCCGCGGTTATGTTGGAATTTCAAGTTGAGGATTTAGAACGTTGAATGATGGTATAAAGTAGAAAATATATACAACTAATTGATGATAGCAAATAAAATGAAGAAATATTTTAGATTTCTTTGCTTCATCTTTTAAGATGATGCGGTTATTATGGAATAAAGTTAATTTAGTGATGGGTTGTTCGTTGCTGCGAAATTTACTTGGAATTTTATTTCGTTATTTATTTTTTGTATTCTACAATTTTTAATTATAAAGCGCCAAGTCACATGGAGTGATTAATACTTCTGAATGATGCCTGTTTGTAATGATTATAACTTCAAAGTTCTTATAAAAGTTTCACGGCAACCACTAATTTTTAATTACACTCTTCACTGTGAAACAAAAAAAGCTAAAAAATGAACAGGAAACGAGTTCGGAATGAAAAAAGTGACCAACCTGATTTGATGGTTTCGAAGTAGATGGTGAAGTTGTACATGGAGTTGGCAGGAGTAGGTGGCCAGCATATTTCCTCTTCAAATATTCCTTCACAGTGTATCTCTGTGTGAGGAATCATAATGACTATAACCATCATGTGTGAGAAATCCTGATGACCAACCATGTGAAAACCGGACATTAGACGGTTATATGTTGATTAGAAATGCTGATGGCCAGAAAATATATTTTTGAAAGAAGCATGGATAAATTATTAAAAAAAAATTTTATACAAGAAATCAATTTCCGTACAAAAAATCATCACAGAGAAGATTACAAAAATTGACATGAGAATCACGAAGAAGTTAGTGATGATAATAAAGTGGAAAAATTATACAGAAATAAATTTTATGAAAAATAAAAATTAGAAAGTGGCGATGTTTTTTTTAAAGTTTTGTATTTTTTGGAGGGGATTACAATTGTCAAGTGTATTTTATTAAATGTTTTAAAAACAATCAATTTGGTTGGTGCGAACAAATCATAAGAAACAATTTTCCTTTCAAAATTCTCTCTTAAAAAGATTTTAAGTAAAGCTACCTCACTTAACAACAAATACAAACATTCAATTTATTTCACATATTAAATAATTCAAACATATTCCTACTTACTCGTGAATACGTTTTGAGAATGTTTTTCAGGTGTCCAGTACAAAAAGATGCTTTTAGAACTTTTAAAATCTCATTTGATTGGAATGGTCATTGATAGAACTTCATGATTTACATAAATACTCTTTTGTTGTTTTTCGTTTTATCTTCTTAAAAGTGTTATTCGTTATGCCTTAATATAAAGTAATGTGTCAAGAATAACTCGTGGATAAACTAAATTTTTAAATATCAAATTTTTTAATGTAAAATTTTTAAATGTAAAATTATGAAAATATAAATTATTATTTTTACTAATACCTCCTATTCATGTTCACCCAAAAAAATCATTAAAAAATAGCTGCAAACTTATATACTCCTTATTATTCATTTTTATTTTTATTGACGCTACTTTTCTGAAAATTTCTGAAAGCTTTAGGAACTACATTGAATGTATCGTCATGACTCACAACCCATACGCATCTATTCATTCCTCAGTTTCATTATTCTACAAAACCAGCTCATAGTCAGGCCCGACCTATCATTGCAATAAGAAATTCAGATCATCATTATTAATGACAAGAATGAGAGGTTGATTTCATTAACACTAGGCCACCCTAAGGTAAAACCTTAAAACGATTCAATAAAAATTTTATGACAAAAATGTGAATAAAACAATTTAATATATTATTGAATTTGAAATTGACCCGAGATGAATTTGAAGCAGATGGAAAAGAGTTTGTAGTTTATTTTTCAAGCCCATAGCAGTAAAAACCAGAGAACTAATAAACAAAACTATAGCCTGGATTCATCGGAAGTTGCATACGTTAACTTAAAATAGATTCTTTTTGGTCTACTTTTTAAAATTTCCATCGAAATGAAAAAAAAAATAACTGAAAGCACACAGCGATGAGCATCAAGGAAAGCCGTCATCACGAACAGTTGCATGAGTGGTTTCTATCAGATGAAGAAGAACATGCAACAACCATCTTCATACAAAACAAAAACAAATTAACCACTTGCACATCCAACGTTTAGAAAAAATCGACGACCAACAATGAACATACAAAAAAAAACAACACGCAAGAAACATCATACAACATCCAACAATAAACATACAACGAAAAAAACATACAAGAAACAGTATTCAACCGCCAACAATATACATGCAGAGCAATGTACGTACAACAACAATCAACATATAAAATATTAACCAGCATACAAGATAAAACATCTAAAACGTAATATACAACAAAAAACCACGTGATAAAGCAAAACAGACATTTCAAAATTAAAAAAAAACAACGTTAAATTTATAAATGAATAATTTTTTGATAAAAAATAAATCACAATAACAACTGAAATGAACATTAAATGAATAAAATGAGATGAAGATACACGAATCAGACGATGCAAAACGTCAATGAGGCCATGATTTTTGCAAGGAAGCGTTTGACTCGACGCAAAGTTGTTGAACACCGTGTTGCCTCACATCTTCATCAATCATACTTGGCAGCGTTTTAAGAGATTGGCAAAAAATAGGTCGAGATAATCTATCTAGATAATTATTGATTGTTTTGTAATGTTTCAATTTGTTTAAAAATTCTAAATTTATGAAAATTATCTATCAATTAGTGTTATTGAATGAAAAATTCGGTTCATTAGTTTAAATTTATTTCTTTAATTAATTGTTATTTAATTATTTTTGTTTCTAAGTTATAACTGATTTGCTAGTTTAAAACAAAAATTAACAAACAATTTTGCGATGTTGTCGTTGAATACTTGCCGCAACTTAAAAACGTACAAATGTTCCAAAAGTTGCATACAAATAACCAAATTTATGTAAAAACAAATTTTTCATCACAGACCCCTCAAAAAACACCTGAAAAATGAAAAAGAAGACGCGCATACCGACACCACAACCAAGCAGACGAGTAGACAATTGTTACGAACAAATTCATGTTGACGTGGTACAAAGAATGCTCACGTAGGAGCCGACTGACGTGTGTTCAGTTTGACTTGCACGCTGCATATGCTCGCGTACCTTCTCACAGATTTACTGACCGAACTTTTCGCTGTATCAATCAGCATATTTTTTATTCATTATTATTTGTTCTATTACGTAATTATCATTAAACAAATTTTAATTGAGCTTCGTTCTTTTAATTTGTTGAGAGTTTTTTCAACGCATGTTTTATTTTCTTGTTCGTTAACTTGTCCATTTTGAAAAATTTTATCTTTTTTGCTCGAAGGTCTATTTGAATCATTAAATGAAAATTTTTTTAAAACCATTTTCAAATTAAAACTGTTTAAAACAGTTGTTAAACTGTCTATATACATTCCTATACATTTTCTAATCTATAATTTCTACATCAACACACACACACATACGTACACACAAACACACACTCACACACAGACAAATACACACACACAGACAAATACACACATACACACACACACTCTCACACACAAACGAGAATGCACACACAAATACACACATACACATACAAATACACACAAATATACACACTCTCACAAGCAAGGACACACAAACCGACGAAGGGTATCAATTGCAGATTTCATTGAAAAATTCAACACTAAATAATCATTCCACTACGCTCATGGCTTGCCATGAAAATAAAAATCAATGCACTATTTATTTACTACTGAATTTATGATTGAAACGGAGAAAAACCCCTCGTAAAGTTGAATAAAGTTGTATTTAAAATCGTGAATGGTTGCATTAGATGAGCAATAAAAGTTGCGACACGACGAAAATTTGACGATATTTTTTGAGGCAGCTAACGCATACTGTAAAAGAAGTGTACTATATTTGATGGAAGAATTGTTGTAATTAAAATAATCCAATTTATAATCTAATGAATTTAAAATTAAATAAATGCTACTGAAGATGATTACAATCCGTTCAATTTGGACGCAGTTGATTTTTTATCAAGCGAGTAGAGTGTTAGTATGACGTCATTATCGAAATCATAGAATTTCAGCAGTGGAATGATAATGATAATTATCATTGGTGTTGTATTCATCATTACCATCATCTTCCTATTTATCACAATCAATGCCTTAAATTTCATAATAATGATTATCAATCACAACAACGCCATCATCTTCGTCATCATCATCGTCACCATCATCATCGTCATCATTATCATTGTGTCATCATCTTCTTCTTCTTCATCATCACCACCATTAAATATGCGATGGCCATAATGACCATCACGAACGAAAAAATACACTGCAGTCCAGAGCACAAACATGCACAGCACAGCACTGCACATAGCAGAAGAGAATCATCCACTATTATTACCTCACTAATCCACGGCTAGCCTTCTGCCATCATTTCAACCTACTCCAGGCTCTTTTTCCGACTCTTCCTAAATAATGTTGTGTCGGTCCAGAGAAAATGAATTATATAGATGAAGAGAGAGAGAAAAGTGGAAAGAGAGAGAGATGGAGAGAGAAAGAGAGTAAATGAGAAAGAGAGAGAGAGGGGGAGATATAAAATTATCTCTATATTTGCAATACTATAGAAGAGAGAGAGAAAAGTGGAAAGAGAGAGAGATGGAGAGAGAAAGAGAGTAAATGAGAAAGAGAGAGAGAGGGGGAGATATGAAATTATCTCTATATTTGCAATACTATGTCAGCCTGATGAATTATATTTGACCATGTGATTAATTTTTATTATTTCAAATTTAGCATTAAATAAAAATGAAAAATTACTTATAATAAATAACATATCCCAAACATAAAATGTTGTAGTAACTGGAGATTTGGACGAAAGTTAATAAATATTCAGGAAACTGCCTCGGGTCACTTTTTGTTTCGAAAGCTGGAAAATTTTATTTGAAAATGTTATTCCTCGATGGAAAAACAATTTTTATTGTTGTCGTTTGTTCAAAGTTCAAACTTTGACGTTAATGTCATTTGTTGATGCTATTTATTTATTCTCAATGAAAATGAATATGAAATATTACATTCAGCATGAAAATGGAAATATTCGTCACCATAACTAACTGAGAGTCAAACAGACTGACAGACATACTGACAGACAGACAGACGGACGGACAGACAAACGGACGGACAGAAAGACAAACAGACAGACAGACAGACAGACAAACAATCGGACAGTCAAACAGATAGAAAATACTTTCATGATGCCACATCAACAGACATCGGAATGACAATATTTATATTGCGTAAAAGTATGTGTGAGCATTTGTGTTCTATCGGATTTTTTTATTTATCGCCTGTTATGGATGTTATAAACTATGTTGTCTTTAACATAGTTAATTGTCTTTTATCGACAATAACATTTCGTTGAAATGTTATTGTCGATAAAACTTGTGAATAAGTGTTCCGATGCCGCGTTTCTACTTTTTTGTTACTAAGTATGTATCATTGTTATCTGGTTCGTGCTGCTATGATTGATTATTTTACGTGCTCGTTTCCATATTTGTTAATTCAAACAAAAGATGTGGAGGAATGAAAACAA